CGCCCCCCAGCGTCGCCATGGCAACAGCGGGCCGGCCCAGCCCGGCCCCACGCCACCTCCCCCAGCCAGGGCCCGCCGCGGCCCTGGGGAGCGGCAGCAGGCCGCAGGGCTCGCCCGGCCCCCCCCGCGGCGGTGGCGGCCCGCGGGCACCCTGCCTTGTCCCTGCCGGGGGCGGGCTGGCCGGCAGCCCCCACCACGTTACCTGAGCAGCTGGGCCAGACCGGGCCGAGGGAGCGAAGGCGCCGCTGGGCCGCGGGTGCCGGTTTGAGCTCAGCGCCTTCCTGGGCGGCAGGCAGGCAGCACCAAGCCAGCCCCGAGTTCATCCAGGCGGCCAGGCAGCGCCCGCCGAGCGCCGAGAAATCGATGCGGCGCGCTAGCCGCCCCGGCAGGGAGAGCGTTCTGTCCCCGCCACGCGTGACGGGCTGCGAGGGGTCGGGGCCTCGTTGCCCACGGCGGGCTGCAGCCGCTCACGGAGCCCTCTCTGCGGCGGGCATCACAGCCGAACGGTTTGCTAGCACGTTGCCGTGGCACGCCGCTATCCGCCTCCCCCACGGGTGACGGGCTCCGCGACGGCGGCGCGGAGGGGGGGGAGCGGCACGGAGCTTTTTTTTTTTTTTTTTCGTTTCAGCCTAAAAGTGATTAAAGAGGGTCTGTATTTCCTTATTTCCTGGCACTGACAACGCAGCCCGTGGGCGAAAGGGCAGCGCTCCCCACGCGGCGTGGGCACCGCACCGGGACCGGGCTGTGCGTGCCCCGGGGAAGGGAGAGGGGTGAGCACGTCCCGGGCGAGAAACGCAACGAAATTATTTCATCCCTAAACGTAATTGTGTCTTTTTGACGAATTTGGTCAGTTTAAGGCGAATTTCCGAGCTCCCCGCCGCGGGAATTGCCTGAGGACAAACGAAATCTAAGGATAGAAGTGCCGCTGACGGTCATCTTTCCCGTTCGGCAGCCGGTCTGTTCCCGTTGGGATCCCGGTGTCCGATCCCCCCCGTCCCCGGTACCGAAAATGCCACCAGGGACCGGTTCGCGGGCGGCGGGGACGCGCTCTGCTCCCTGGAACGGAGCGAAACAGTCAATCGCTGCCCATCGCGCGTGTAATTAGATCTGAAGAAATGCTAATTCCCCCCTCCACGCCGTACCTGCTCGAGTAAATAAACGCTCTTTTATGTAAAGTCATCTTTTCCAAAGGTCAAATTAAAAAAAAAATAAAGAAAAAAAAAATCAATACATAAGCAAGAGTTAAACAATTTTGAATAATTTATTAGAATTCTAGCGAAGGTGTAAAAGAGACGAGTTCTGTCAACAAAAGTACTCTCTTAATGGGATTTAAGCAACAAAGGGAAAAAAAAAAAAAACCCAAACGACAAATAGCATAATTCGCTCTAATCTGATGCCACGGTTGCGCGGGGGCGGCCCCGCACCCCCCGCACCCCACCGTCCGGCGGCGGGGTGCGGGCCCCCCCCTCCTCCCCGGCGGGGGCGGTACGCGGGCGCGGAGCTTGCGCGCCCCCCACCCCCCCGGCTTTGGCCACTCCCCCGCAGCTCCGGCCGCGCTCGCCCGGGACCTGGCGCAACGGGCCCGCGCCTAATTAAATTAATTAGTGCGGCGGGCGGGCAGGCGGACCGGCGGTGCCCCGGCCGCATTGCCCCGCGGCAGGGCGGCGCGGACCGGGGCGGCGGAGAACGGGGGTTCCATTCAGAGCTCCGAGGGGAGGTAATTCTCCGGGAACAAGGGGCAGGCTTTGCAAAGTATAAATAGTGGCACTTCAATCGCGGCGTCGCTATCAGACCCCGGGAGCCCTGCACGTCGGGCGGCACAGCACGGCTCGGTACGGTCCCGGCCCGGCCCGTGGATGCCCACCCGGGGAACTGGGGCAAGGCGCCCCTGAAGCCCCCGCCGCGGCCATGGAGG